TATAAAGGGTTTTGCGATAAAGGCAGAGTGTTTAACAAGCACAGACCTCTGAGCGTGCAGGGCCTCTCAGACCGCACAGGACAGTCGCCCCTGAAGCTGACCTTGGCAGGAGCTAATCCAGAGCGATTTGGTCCAGCAAAGATACTCACCGAAGGCCTGTGGTCCTCTGCATGTTATGCCAAGGCTACTAACATGGAAACATCTGGCAGGGTGGAAGTGAGGTTCTGTGGAAAGCAAGTTGACAGCAGCAGCCGTCATCCACTCACTTGTTGGTTCCTTCGTTCGTGAAGTCGTCAGTTCACAAGGCACTGATCAAGCTTACTGTGTGCAGGCACCGTGCTGGGTGTGCATGCCCCAGGAAGTGTGGCTGTTGTGTTCTTGCCTCTCCCACATCGTGGCCACGGCCCTGGAGACAGAGCAGCTTAGACACTGGGTGTGGACGTGAGAAGTGAGGGGCCCCTGAATTCTCCCAACCCAGAAATCTGTTCACTGAGCAGGCTCTCCACCACAGGGACCTGCTCACTGAGGACTTCCTGGGTTCTTTGGTGGCCAGCAACAGAAACTGATTCTGCTGCCTTAATGGAGAAAAACAGGTATTATTGGAAAGATATGGGGCGCTCACAGAATTACGGTAGTTGGGGGCGACTATGCCTTACGAGGGACAGAAACCCAGGCAGGGTGGGGCAGTCTGGACGGAAGGGAGCTACGTCTCGTCTGAATGCTGCTGTAGGAATGAATCCACTTCAGCTTTAAAAAGTTAAAAACAAAAAAAAATTTTTTTTTGTAAGCTCAGCTAGATGCAGAGATTCTTTGGTGGCGTAGTTAAGCCTACTCTGTCTGTAGTACCCTGACCTCATAGGTCTGGGCAAGGCCCCCTCTTGCTTTATTTTATGCATTTTCCCTGTTTAATCCATGAGCCCTACTCCCCTCCCCCAAGACAGCTACCCTAAGTGTGCTTGATTTATGTCCTGGATTTGTAGGTATAGACACATATATCAGATGCACAGAGTCTCTGGTGTATGTGTGTTTAGAATTTACGTACGTGGTTTTCTGTGGCAGATAGTCGTCTGAGGCTTACCTTTCTGATCAATAAAAACGTTTCTACAGGCCTCTCTGGGCTGCTGTGTGTGCACTTAGTTCATGGCTCTAAGCTGCACGTCGTGTTTCGTAGAATCATCCACCACACTCCTCAGTCCGTGTCTCCGGAGACGGTCACCTGGCTTCTTCTCAGCTCTCCACCAACAGGCTGGCTGTGAGGAGCAGTCTCATGTGTGTCCCATGTTGACCTGGAGACTTTTTCTAGGATGTGGAGAGAAGAGGAGGGGGTGCTGCTTATTAAACATGCAGATTCTCAGACTTTCTTCTGGAGATTCTGATTCTGTAGGTTTAACAAGTGCCCCAGGTGGTCCTTAGTATCAGGTACCTTTGGGGGAAATTGATCTGCAATAGACACCCTGAGATAGGGTGCCTGGGCCAAGGGTGCAGATGCCCTTAACTTCACTGCTCTCCTCAAAGCCGGGACATTCAGGTCTCCACTCCATCTACTAACTTCTTGTTTTCCATAACCAGCACCTCTACTTGGTTCTCATTTATGACTACAGTAGACCCTTGAATAATGTGGGGGTCAGGGGTGCTGACCCTTCACCCAGTCGAAAATCCACCTGTAACTTTCTAGTGCCCCCCCCTCCGTATCTGTGGTTCTGCATCTGTGGATTGTATAGTCCTGTGGAATTTACCATTGGAAAAAAATCACATGTAAGTGGATCCCCACAATTCAGACCCATGTTGTTCAAGCGTCAACTGTACGTGCTTTACGTGACCAAATTGTCCTTTGTCTGTTCGAAGGAGAGAGCGATGCTCATTTTCAAGTTCTTTTTCCCTGGTTTGTTCTTAGGAGCTCATCTAGCACCGGTATTTCCATGTCTTTCTTCTGACTCCCGTCATGCCCTTCTGTTACCATTCTGTTCGAGTTTGTACTCTTGCAGAATATCGGGTGCCGTGGCTGGCCATGTGAACCTCAGGGGAGGGTCTTTAGCTCAGACCTCAAATGTGCCCCACCTGGAGTTTAGGAAGACAAAACCAGAGAAAATGGGTGTGCGTGCTGGGAGGGAGTGGTGGAGCTGGCGGGGAGAGAGCAGGAGCCTCGGCTGCTGATTCCAGTTCTTCCTTCTTACACCCCTGCCTGGGAGGCACGTTTTCTAAGAACCAGCTGGTGGCCCTTGGTTGTAACCACCTAATGCTTGAGAAGTGACGAGAGGGGCGGAAGAAGGACACTTGGCGGTGGGAGGACCTGTCTGCCCCTGCCGTCAATTTTAATGTCATTTCCGGAACCCCTGAAGGATTCTGGCAGCATCCTGATCCCTCTCTGTTGTCTGCAGCCAGCTGGGTTTGCTGGGTTTCTCCTCCCCAGTGTGGACAGTGACACATCTGGGGGCAGATGAGGGATGGGAGGAACTTCTTATTTCCCCATCCATGCTGACAGCCACCTTCTGCCCATGGTGCTGTCTACCCCCCTCTCTCCCATAGAACCCGACCAGGGGCTTCTCACTGATTTCATGTTAGTTTCTCAGATCCTTCAAGCTCCCTGTATCATCAGGGTGGAGCTCCAGGCAGGGAGGCAGCAGCCGTATTACTGAGCCCCCTTTTTCCAGCTTCAGTTAATTTCCAAGCTTCTGCTATTCTGTTCAATATTCGTAGGAGAGAGGGTCTTCTTGGCCTGGCCTGGGCCATGTGACCACCCCTTAGCCAGGGCAGGACATCTTGACTGATTGACAGTTATGGCAAGACTCATGACATTGTTGCGAGAGGGGAACCTAGGTGATGCCAAGATGTTCCCACTGTCTAGACATTTGCCTTTTATGGGGGAAGGTAGGGAAGGTTCGTGCCACTAATTAGGAGAACCTCAAGCCAGCCCCTGTGCTTGTACTGCGGTCAAGCTGAGAGTGAATCCTTTTCAGGACAGTGAGAGCTCTCTGAGTAGTCCACGCGTAACATCAAGCCCACGCTGACAGCCCACCGATCCCTTATGACCCTGTCTGGTGGGTGATCTTTGCTCTGCCTGATTCTGCTTACGTTTATGTAAAGCTGGCCTTCAAAGGCGCTCTCACACAGGTCCAGTTTCTCATGAGTGGCAGTTACATTAAGCGAGCTCAGTTTAGTATTTCTGTTGAGTCTGAAATTCTACAATGATTCGAGAAGATCATGCTTTTAATAAAAGGTTTCCAGTTCTGGAAAAAAAAAAAGGAAATGGCGGAAGTAGGAGGTAAAGGTACTGTGGCAGGTGCACTTCAAAACAGACAGTTTTGGGCAATAATTTTCAAAGTCACTTTCTTACTGCAGGTGGGTTGAGTGGCTGCCTAGGATCTTTTATTTCTTCCTTCTTTTCCAAATTCCTGTAGCAGTTTGATCGTGTCTATATTTATCGTAGTTGGAAAAATTCTCTAAAGAGTTATTCATTGTGTCAAAAACTACCAGTTTTAAAATCATACAGATGCATTTAGGTAAAAGTGAATAGGTGCAAGACTGGGTTTTAAATGACGTGTCCTACAAACACTAAGAACACAGCTCCCTGATCGCTCGCTTGTAATCTGTTGATTGCATATTTGCTTGTTTTTGTCCTCGGTTATGGTAAGAAAAGGTACGTGACACACCCTATTGATTACGTTCTGCAAGTAGGTTTTTTAATTTGATCACATCTGAGTTATCATCTTTTTCAGACCTTTAGAGTAATTTACAATCAGTATCTATTTAAAAGTAAAAAAAATTGTGAGTATTTAGTGTATAACAGCTTCAGTATTCAGAGTCAATTGACCATTATAACGTGGCCCAAGGATGAGTAAATTTCTGGGAAAAAAATAAAGCTTCTGATTCTGAAATACTAAGTGTTCCATGTGTGACAGCTACCAAAGATTGAGCCCTAGGAAGCCCTCAGGTAGTATGGAAATTGCAGGCAGTGTGGTTCAGCGGTCAAGGCACAGGCCTCGGGGCCACGCCTTCTGTGTGTTCAGGTCAAGGTTCCGTCAGCCTGTTGTATCTGTGTTACCTTGGGCAAGTTGCTTGGGCTCTCTGTACTGGGTGAATTCTGTAGAGCGCATGTTTAGAGTAGTTTCTTATTACGCACATGCGGAGTATTTAGTCATTATTTAATCATTACTATATTCTTAATATTTGATGCAACTAAAAATAAAAGGAAACGTCAGGTTGCTTTATTCTCCTGTCATTCTCAAAAAAAAATTTTTTCTCACCACTTGAGAAAAGTGGGACAGTCCCGATATGCCTACTCCCAGAAAATAAAAAGAGCTTTGAGCCATAAACCTTCCGGGGGCTACTTGAGTTCTTCTCTTTTCCCCCTTAAAAATGGTGGCTACGAATCCACCCTGCCACCTGTTCCAGACACTTCACACAGAGTGCAAAGATGTAAAATGGACAGAAGTCCTGCAGTGAGATGCCCCGATGGGTTAAGTCATTGTCGATTATCAGAAGACACTTGTTTTTGGGGAGTCACTGATGTACCTCCGTGGAGAACCGGTGTTTAGGGACCTAACGTGAAAGCCTCTACAGCAGGAGGCAGACGGAAAACAGAAAAGCTGCATTTGTTATGAGACACCCCCCCACCCCCTACCAACCCCTGCGTGTGGCCCCTCACAAGACGCTGTGGGCGGTGTTAGGGTTTTATCCTGTTGAAGGACTGAGGTTCAGTGGAGTTAGTCTGGGGTTTTTTTTCCTTTTGTTTAGTAACTTCAAGCCGCTGTGTGAAGGCCTTTTCAGTCCCTCTCCTGTTTCAGTGGTGCCTCCTGTGACGTAGCCCTGGGATGTCCTCGGGTGGCTCTTCTGGTGCCCCGTCTTCCGCCTCCTGGGTGACACAGGCAGACGTGTCAGGAAGCAACAGAGTGGTGGCTGTTGAGGGAGGTGGAGTTGGTCTCCATGACGTTCCCCTCCTGGCTCAGCCTCACAGAGTTGCAGGGCCCAGCCTCACCCCTTTTTTCTTTACAACATTTTTTTAAAACATGGAACGCTTCATGAATTTGCATGTCATCCTTGTGCAGGGGCCATGCTAATCTTCTCTGTACCGTTCCAATTTTGGTACATGTGCTGCTGGAGTGAGCACTTCACCCCCTTTTTTAATTGAAGTGTAATCGATTTACAATGTTGTGTTAGTCTCTGGTGTGCAGCATAGTGATCCAGTTATATATATATATTCCTTGTCATATTCTTCTTCTATTATAGGCCATTACAAGGTTATTGAATTAGAGTT